TCCTAACATGATGCTGGTTGTAGTTTGACAGTGTTCTTTATGGTGTTGTGTTGGGTAGAGCCCGGTGAAGGGCCAAGTGCAGCACTAGGTTGTTCGAGAATTGTTGGGCAAAGGCCTAGAGAGCCAAGTCCAGCATCTTTAATTTTAGCATAGTGGTAAGTGTTTGATTCTAACATGATGCTGGTTGTAGTTTGATAGTGTTCTTCTGATCTACTTACACTGCCAGCTTGAAATCTTTGGTTTGAACCGTTTTCCTGAAATCATTAGAAATGCGAGTGTAGAAAGTCCATGCCAGAAAGATGATGAAGAGAGACACACCAAGGATTTCAATCCCAGATAAGATGCCAAGAGAACTCTTCACAATCAAAGGATTGCTGAGAAAGGCTAAACATCTCCTTTCTTGCCTGGAGATTCCTTCCTTCTGCTTCTGCTTCTTCTGTTCCAAGTAAACGAAACCGACTATGGCGAAAGCAATGACAGGAAACGTGTAGACAGCGAAACAAAGGCCTGCACGAGACAAAGCCGTAACGCGTTTATGCATCAAATAGGCATAAAATTTAGCTAACATAACATTGGATATATTCCATTTACCATTATAGCCAAAAACAGAAGCTGATGCTTTTTCTTCTGCTGCCTTCCAAGTTCTTGTCCATACTTGTGTTGGCTTGAGAATCCAGAGAGAAACCCAACCAGTAGATACCAAGATAAGAAGAAGTTTTAGAATAAGAAGACTGGCTTTAGCCATTTATTATGACTGAATTGAATTATACTTTTTTTATGAGTCTATGGTTCAATTCAGACAAATTGTGTTTATATAATGCACAAAAATGAGTTACTGCAGCCTGGACAAAGATATGGTTAGGCTGCTTCTTTGGGTCAACAACTTATTAAGTTGTACTTATTTCCATCAAGAACGTGGCATTAAAATCACAGCTTATTAGCACAGAATTTTAATGCTAATCCCAGAATCATGGTGGCAGACTGGCACCTGTCATATAACTCACTCATTGGATTTAGTATAAGCAATATGCATGGTTAGCAGCAAATCCAAGAACCAAGTGGTGGATATATGGTCCATCCCCACTAGCTTTACCTTTTCCTTTAGTTTCAGTATGGAAGATTGGGTCCGCACGAGCAGTTTAGTTAATTTCTGGGTGATAGATTCTGAGTAAAGACGTAAGATCTAGTTCTGACAGTTACAATATGGAGTTATATCTAATGTGATTCTTACTTAATAAACTATAGAGTCACGTGATTTACTACCTCTACAAATCCTGTCCTATTAGCACGGAGTATGGAATCCGAAATAAGAGATAATGAATTTTGCCTTTTATTGACAATAAGAAGAGATTGGATCATATCAATATGTCATTCAACCAAACATATAACTCTGTACAATGTATTTGTGGGACTGGATGATCAGGCTGATGGGCCCATAAAGTTGTCATAAAGCACAATGCATTGGTGTCATGCATGCTAATCAGCTGCTCAAAAGGATATATACAAAAAGAAATTTCTTCTTGTCCTTTCTTTACTTGTCAGGATTGAAGTGGACCAAAAGAGGGTATATTATGGCCCTGTTTGGTAAAATGGCTGTTAGCTGATAGCTGTTTGCTGTTAGCTGATTGTGCTAATTAGAAGGTATAAATACTTGAAAATATTAGTTGATTGTAGAAAAGTGTTTGGTAAATTAGCTGTTAGCTGATAGCTGTTAGGTATAATTTTGTTTCTCAAAAAACTAATTGAAAAAGTTGTTAGGAGTAACTTTTTTAATTTTAGCCTTTTGGAGTTGCAAAAAGCTAATTAACCAAACATTTATATTGATATTTTAACTAAAGTAAACAATTAATAGTGGTCAAATAAGCCAAAATTGGCCTATAGGCTAATTTTTTACCAAACAGGGCCTATATGTGGAAAAAGCTTATAACCTTTGGAGTGATGCACCCAATATATTCTCAATATGGACTAAAGTGTATATAAAAAAAAAAAACTATAGGTGAGTCTAATTTTGATTATATTGGGAATAATAAGTTCAATTTTTCACAAACTCTTGAGTTGTTCCGTACTTTGTATTTTGTTGATCCAATTATTTTCTTAGTCTCTTTCAGTTTAACAAGAAGTTTCAAGTTCGAAAGCAAAGCAGTGATATGCTTATAGTTGCTTTATGAAAGGGGTTGGGAGATGAAAAAGACACGTGTGGCATATATCAACTAAGATGTTTATTCAAGCCTAAAGTAGAGCAATGCCAGTAATACCGAAAGTTTGCAGATTCACTGTCAAATTAAAGATGCTTAATTATTCCCCCACCCCCCTCTCTTTCTGCACCATGCCATGCTCCATAATGATGTCTTGATCAATCTTTGACCATAAGCAAGCTTCAACTAACAGTCACACAAATCAAATAGGGTTTTGAATGTGAATATAATGTGATATAAGCTAAGATTCCTCTAATGAGATAAAGATTGCCAAAGCAACCCACTAACTTCAAGCTAGGTCAATTGAGGGTTTGATTTCTAGGCCGAGCCATCCTAGAATTATAAGCTTCAAATTTTTTATACTCCGTAACTAATATTGAATACACGACTTTATTCAAATGACAAGATGTTTGATTAGCCTCTTTAGGCAAATTTTTATATGGACCATTAAAAAAATATACATTTTAAATACATTAAAGGTACATTATTTGTGTACTGAATATACATTATTTTATAATACATAGAATAATATACATTTAGTACTCAAATAATATACTTTCAGTACACAAATAATGTACCTTTAGTATATTAAAAAGGCAAATGGTCAAATAGGCCGTCGAACTTCACCTGAAAAGTCAATTAGGTCCCTAAACATTTTAAAGTTGCAATTAAACCCATCAACATTGTATTTTGGTGTAATGAAACCCAAAAATCAGTTAGTGACCTGTGATAGCATGTTAATAGGATTCTGACGACAATCCGATGCTATTTTTAACAACAAAATGATCTATGACCGTCGAACCGTCGCTGATCACCATTCATGGTCCACACAGGATCCATGGAATAATGATTGGGACCTTCAATCTTCCACCCAACAATCCTCTTTTAGTATTTGCTAACATTAAGTCACAGTATGTCTTTAATGGAATTTGAGCCTATGAGTGGGAAACCTCTATCGAAAAATTCCCTCATGTAGTCTCAGTATCAACTACTCATGATTTGATACCAGTTATCATATCATACAACTAAGTCAAAAGTTAGAGTTGCGCTACTAATAGAATAACAACTTTATTTTCTTATATTTTGTAATAGTTAAAGTCATATTCCAATGGCATGATACTGAACTAGTATAAACTTCCTAAGCCTAACAGTAAACACCCATTGTGATAGCAAATTATGGGCCACACAATTGTGTGAACCATAAATATCAGGTACATTTTTAATATATTAAAAGTACATTATTTTTGTATTAAAGGTACATTATATAAAAGAATGTACCCTTAGTATATTAAAAATGTACTTTCAAAAAATGTACCTTATGTACATAAATAATGTACCCTTAGTATATTATAAATGTACTTTTTATTTATGGTCCACACAATTGTATGGACCATGCTCCATGCAATAATGATTGCATTGTGATGGCAAATTATGCTGCGCATTCGTATGCACCATGCAAAAACGACGCATGTTTTGATGCAAAACGACGTCGTTTTTGCATCCGGATGCACCATGCATATATGGTGCATATAGATGCATAGCATAACGATCCCATTGCAATGCAATCGTTATGCGTTGGACCCGTGTCCAGCATACTTGCTGGACACGGGTAACAGTGCCGTTAGGCACTGTTATCTCCTTTTTTTTTTTTTTTTTTTTTAAATTTCAAACAGCTTCGTTATAGGAGTATATGTTCATAATTTTATTACTATATTATTAATAACTGTACATTCATAACTCCATAACTGTACGTTCATAACTCTATAACTGTACATTCATAACTCCATAATTGTACATTCATAACTCCATAACTGTACATTCATAACTCTATAATTATACATTCATAATTTTCGAAGCTCTATGTTCACAATTTTAGAGTTCTATGTTCATAATTTTATTACTATATGTTCATAATTGTAAGTTCATAATGTTAGAGCTCTTTGTTCATAATTCGATCAATAACTGTACATTCATAATTCCATAACTGTAGATTCATAATCTCATAACTGTAGATTCATAACTCAATAACTGTACATTCATAACTCCATAACTGTACATTCATAATCTTCGAAGCCCTATATTCACAATTTTAAAGCTCCATGGTCATAATTTTATCACTATATATGTTCATAATTGTAAGTTCATAATGTTAGAGCTCTGTGTTCATAATTTCATAATTGCATAACTGTACATTCATAACGGCATAACTGTACATTCATAATCCAAAAAAAAAAAAAATAACGCCGTTAACAGCAAAACGCGCGCGATTTTTTTTTTTTAACTAAATGACGCGTTTTTTTTTTAAAAACGACGTCGTTTTGGGCCCGTGTCCACAATTCACTGTGGACACGGGTCCAGGGCATAATTTGCCATTGCAATGGGATTGGGCTTAGAGCATCCACACCAAAGGTGAATGAGGAGTTAATGTCAGATTAAAAAACTTGGATGGAGATAATAAGAGATGTGGAGTGGAGATAATGGAGGAAAGAATCCTCCTGCAAATACACAAATAATGTCAGAAAAAGATAAAATAAAATAAAAATAAGCAACACAGGACACCGCCTGTGGCCACACGGGCGCGTGCAGTGCACGCGCCTGACGCTTCAAATTTTTTTTTTTTTTTTTTTTTTTTTTTTCTCCCCTCCCACTTTCTCTTTCCTAATCACTCTTACATTATCCTCCAATTCTCCCCAACTGATGTGGATGCTCTTAAGGCCGGTCCGAATAACCCCAATTTATTATTATTTTTGAATGTCCCAATTTATTATTTATTATTCCAAATAAAAGAAAGAGCATACAAATTTGTGTTTTGCAGAAAACTAGAGATGGCACTTTGAATATGACATCTCCAGAAGGCAGCAAATGTTGAGAAAGAGGAATAACTTTTGCTCCATCTATCTATCTGCTTCTTTTTGTTCCTTTCTAAGCCAGCTATAATCTTCCCATTACTGAACTTGCCAGTGCAGCCAGCCAGCATCTACTCTGATCTTTTTCTGATCACTCACCCACTCTGATCTGATCTAAATTCCTTTTCCTATTTCATCCTGGCAGAGATAAAAGGATGAAGTAGTAAAGGCAACCAGAAAACCAAATTAAAGGAAAAAGATGTCAGGGGAAATAGTGGAAATTGGAGAAGACAGCTCCGAGAGTGCAGAAAGTCATCATCATCACCAAGATGTTTATGTTGCAGTTGGGAAGAATGATGAACATGTTGTTCAATGGGCAATCGACCATTTCGCCTCCCCGCGCCCGGGAACACGCATTTTCCTTCTGCATATCTTCCCTTCCCTCTCCTACATATCTACACCAGGTATGTTAAATCGCGAGCCGCCCCGTCAATTCTCACTCTTTGCCATTACATTTTGCATACAAGAGGTTTTCAATCACCTCTGAACGCTCAAGTTTCTAAAGTTCTCAGTCACATTCGAACTTCCACACTCTCACTGAAACAAGCTAGACTTTAGAGTGATTGGTTAAATTAATTAACTTAGAAAGGCTTTAAGCTTTAGGCTTTAGGGTGTGTTAGGATCAAACGCTTACCACTTAACTTGTAGCGAAGACGCAACTTTATTTTCTTATAAACTAGCATCACATTTTCTAGAGACAATATGTTGGACTTGACCCTTAACTGACCTCCCCTAACAATCTCTTAGCCACCAATTGATGGATTTGTGCAAAAATATTTAGCGGTCTTCAATTAACAACAATTTATTAATTATTGTAGCTGGGAAATTGTCAAGAAGCCATTTGAGCAAAGAGCAGATGCAAGTGTTTGTAAATGAAGAGAGCAACAGGAGGAAGAGTCTCTTGGAAAAATACATTCGCCAATGCAATGATGCCAAGGTTAGTCCAACAAATGCATACATCATGGAAATTCTAATATATCCTAAAGTATTGTGCTTTATATTATTTAAATATATTGTACTTTTTAAAAACAATTTTTTTCATTTTAAAAAATTCAGATTCCAGTTGATACAATGCTTGTGGAGAGCAATGCACCGTCCAAAGCAATATTAGATTTGATTGCGGTTGTTAACATCACCAATCTTATCATTGGGATGCGGAAACACTCATCTTATAAGAGGTAACTCAATACAATTTTTTTTTTTTTTTTGTAATTAATTAGTAATTAGTGATGGGTGGATGTGGGGATGATTACGGTTTGGTTCAATCGAATCAAACATTATAGAAATCAAATCAGAACCGAAATCATACAGACAGTTTAGTCAGGATTTAGAATCGGGTCTCAAAAGGTTCATGTTTCAATTTATTAAAATAAAAAATTGAAACTATCGGTTCTAATTCCAAACCAAAAAAAAAAAAAAAAAAAAAAAAAGGAGAGATAATATTGGGCCAGTATAGCCCATCAGTACTGATGGACTGAGTTGGACTTTACATTATTACTATGCAAGTCAAGTCAAATTAACTGGCAAATTATATCATGCACCGCGTCAGACATTACAGTGTGGCTAAATATTAACACTGTCAAAATGATGTTATTTTATTTAATGAAAAGAAACAGAATTTTTGCAAAAAATAACTCTGTTCTTTAATTTCATTTTGTATACACTGCAGTTTCAGTTCAACACAACTACAGTTTCATTTCGATATAACTACAGTTTCATTCAATATTTATACATTCAAATATGTGAAAATGTTGTTTAATTTTATTTTATATACACTATAATTTCATTAAAACACAACTACATGATCATTTCAATATAATTACAGCTTCATTGTCCAATATACACTCAAATATGTGAAATGTTATTCAGTTTCATTTTATATATACTGTAGTTTCATTTCACCACAACTACAGTATCATTTTGATATAACTGTAGTTTCATTTGATAATATAAAAATAATACGTGAGACAGTGACAGTTTAGACACACTGTAGTGTCTGACGTGCGGTGCATGATTAATCATGCACCGTGGTGCATGATATAACAACCGAAATTAGCTTTGCCCATGAAAGTAGGCAAATTATGTTGTGCAACCATGTGCACCATGCATAGTGCACACGGTTGCAAAAACGACGTCGTTTTGACTAAAAATGCGCGTTTGATTTTTTTTTTTTTTTTAAATCAGTTTTAATTCCCGTCAACAGCATTATGTTGTGCATAATTTGAACTATATATCCAGAATGAATGAACTAAATATCCAGCATGAATGAAAAAAAAAAAATCAGTTCCGATTTTCGTCAACGGCGTTATGTTGTGCATAATTTGAACTAAATATCCAGAATAAATGAAAAAAAAAATCAGTTTCGATTTCCGTCATAATTTGAACTATATATCCAGAATGAATGAACTAAATATCCAGAAATTTTTTTTAAGTCAGACGTCAAAACGACGTCGTTTTTGCACATGGTTGTACAGCATAACGACTCATGAAAGTACAACAATTATATCGTGAATCATAGTCCACAAAGTTTTATGGACCATTGTCCAAAAATAGTGTCGTTTCTTTAAGTAAAGAAATGACAGTCATTACAATTAAGGGAGCGCGTATTTTTGGTGTCTTAATTACCAAATGAAACTACAGTGTATTTAAACTGATATTGTCTCACGTATTATTTTTATATTATCAAATGAAACTACAATTGAATTGAAATGAAATTGCTGTATATACAAATTGAAACTGAATAATAATTTCACATATTTGAAATTTGAGTGTATATTGTCCAACGAAACTGTAGTTACATCAAAATGATACTGGAATTGTGTTGAAATGAAACTGCAGTGTATATAAAATGAAACTGAATAACATTTCACATATTTGAGTGTATATTGTGCAATGAAACTGTAGTTATATCGAAATGATAATGTAGTTGTGTTGTAATGAAATTATAGTATATATAAAATGAAACTGAATAACAGTTTCACATATTTGAGTGTATAATATCGAATGAAACTGTAGTTATATCGAAATGAAACTGTAGTTGTGTTGAAATAAAACTGCAGTGTATACAAAATGAAACTTAATATGTTATACAATCAAAGTTACTTTTTGCGGATGACGTGAAACATGTGCCGTTTCTTTTCATTAAGAGAAACAACACCGTTTTGATACCTAGACCACAATGCATTATGTACCGCGGTCCACAGTATAATCTGCCATGAAAGTAGCAATCATTATTCGATAGACCATGGTCCACACATTTGTGTGAACCATAAATAAAAAGTACATTTTTAATATACTAAAAATACATTATTTGGATACACAAAGTTGAATGTACATGATTTTTTTTTATTATCAAATAATATACATTTAGTACACAAATAATGTATTTTTAGTATGTTAAAAATGTATATTGTACTCATAGTCTACACAGTTATGTGGACCGTGGTACACACAATAATTTGGCCTGAAAGTAGTGGGTTGCTGCATTGCTGCTACTATGGCAAATTATTCTGTGGACTTGGGTCTACCCTGCAAGGTGGGCCCGCGTCCAAAGATACGGCAAATTATGATGTGCAATCGTGTGCACCATGTTCTATGTTCATAATTACTGAATTATATGTTCATAATTATAAAGCTATATATTCATAATTTTTTAACTTCATATTCATAATTATTGAACTCTATATTCACAATTACAGAACTCTATGTTCATAATTATAGAGCTATATATTCATAATTTTCAATGTTCATATTCCCAATTGTTGAACTCTATATTCACAAATCACATAACTATATGTTCATAATTTGATAACTATACAGTTTAGAAATTATGAATCTACAGTATAGAAATTATGAATCTACAGTACAGATATTATGAATCTGCAGTATAAAAATTATGAATCTATTGTATAGAAATTATTAATCTACTGTATTTAAATTATGAATCTACGGTTTAAAAATTATGAATCTACAGTATAGATTTTATGAATATATACAGTATAGAAACTATGAATCTACAGTATAAAAATTATGATTTGGAACCGTGCGCAACTTGCATGGTGCACACGGTTGCACATCATAACGTTCTCAAAGATATACAATTTACATACCAAATGTTCATAATTTACCTTTTAAAAATTCACAAATTATGATGACACATATTATATTCATATATAAATTTTCAAAACTTAAAAACACAATTTATATTCTAGAAGTTTACAATTCCAATACTAAAAATACACAATTTAGGACCAGGGTTCACCTTGCAGGGTGGACCTTGGTCCATGGTACAACAGTTGTGCTAAATTGAGCTAGTCCAATTTTAAACGATTTGGTTCATATATATCTTTTTATTAGGATTTTGGATAATTTTATGTAATATTGGATGTAAAAATGTTATATTTTGTGTCATCAACATAAGATAATTGTAAACAAGAAGATATAAATTTTTAAAATTAATTTCCCTTTTCCTCTTTTGGTTTAGGCCCGTGTGGAAAGGACAAGGAATAGGAGAATATATTGAGAAGAATGCACCAGATTTTTGTGAGGTCACCATTGTTTGTGAAGGTAAGAAAATGATGAATGGAAAAGTGCAATCGGAGAACTTCCCTTCATCACTTGGGCCTCAACGGCGGCCGGAGATTACTACCCGAAACTCGGAGAGAAAATTCTTTGAATGTGTATGCTTTTCAAGCAAGTTCAATTGAAAATTATTAGAGCAAATGTTTATAAGTTTAACGACATTCTCATATGTGATGACGATGAGAATATAATTGTGTTGTATTTAATAATAATGTCTGAGAGTACAGGGAGCGGATATATATAGATGCTAGATAGAGTCCTAGTCTAACACGAATAATATAGTCTTAGTCTAATATGAATAATATAGTCCTAATACCCCCCCCCCCCCCCCCCCCCCTCAAGCATAAGGTTGGCTAGCCAAAATATTGAGCTTGTCACGGAGAGAGTTAAAATGAAGAGACGATAGAGACTTTGTGAAAATATCCGCTAGTTGATCCTTGGTTGAAATAAAGTGCACTTCTAACTCCTTTTTGGCTACTTTATCGCGAACAAAATGATAGTCAATCTCAATGTGCTTCGTGCGGGCATGAAACACTGGATTGGCACATAAATAAGTAGCTCCCAAATTATCACACCATAGTCGAGGAGGAAACGTAGGAGGGATGCCGATTTCGTGTAACAAAGAAACGAGCCATGTAACTTCTGCAGATACATCAGCGAGTCCCTTGTATTCTGCTTCAGTCGAAGAACGTGCCACAGTGCGTTGCTTCCGAAAAACCCAAGATATAAGATTACTGCCCAAGAACACAGCAAAGCCACTAGTAGATTTGCGATCATTCGGATCGCCAACCCAATCTAAGTCAGAATAGGCGTGAATATCCATAGATGTAGACCGAGAAATACGCAGGCCAAGATCTAGGGTGCCGTTGACATACCGCAGGACTCTCTTTAGAGAGGGCCAGTCTATAGTAGTGGGAGCATGCATATGTTGACACAAGAGATTAACAGCATAAGATAGATCCAGATGAGTTACCGTAAGATACTAGAGAGCACCAGCAAGACTCCTGTATTGTGTTGGATCGACATAGGGAACGGCCACGTCGTCTGTGATTTTCGCAGAAGAGACAGGCGTGATTACTGGCTTGCAGTCCACCATGCCAGCACGTTTGAGAATATCCTTCATGTACCGTTGTTGGGATAAAAGCATACCGCCAGATAACGGGACAGTTTCTATTCCGATCCCAAGAATAAAGAAGGCACACCCATATCACGAACCTTAAATTCAAGTGCTAATTTATCAATAAGAGCAGTAACACGATATGAGTCAGAACCCATAATTAAAATGTCATCAACATACACCAAGAGATAAAGATAAATATTGTCACGAGAATAGATAAAAAGAGACACATCCGTCTTAGAAGGCGAGAAGCCCACAGAGACAAGAAAATCATGTAACCTTGTGAACCATGCACGTGGAGTCTGTTTGAGACCGTATAGAGATTTTTTAAGCAAACATACATGATTAGGTAACGACTTATCCTCATAACCAGGTAGCTGTCGCATGTAAACAGTCACAGCTAGCTCGCCATTTAAAAAGGCATTGTGAATATCCAACTGGCGAATAGACCACCCACGAGATATGGCTAAAGATAAGAGAAGACGAACCGTAGTGGGCTTAACCACAGGACTAATGGTCTCAAAAAAGTCCTCTCCAGCAACCTGATTAAAACCCTTGGCTACTAACCTGGCTTTATGAAGGTCTATTGAACTATCGGCCTTCCGTTTGGTTCTGAAAACCCACTTGCAACCAACAACATTCATACCTGGTTGAGATGGAACGAGACGCCACGTATGATTATGGACCAAGCCATTGAACTCCGCATCCATTGCATCACGCCACTCAGAAAACTTGACTGTCTGAGAGTAACAGGTAGGCTCAGGCAATATAGTGGAAATAGTGGTTAAGGCAATATGTTTATGCAAGCCGGAGCTGATATGAACCTAGTCCAAGATTCAAATAAGATGGAATATTGTCCCAAGAATGCTCTCAAAAGTAAAGATAGAGATGGATCAAAATACCTTAAACCTCACGAGAAACCCTTTGTCTCGAATCCTCAAAGGCTTAGAAGAATCCCATTGTAGCTTCAAGTACCTCGATGATTCAATCTTCAATCAACTAGAGTCGGATCTAGTTTCCTTCGACTCAAGAACGAGTCCACGAACCTAAATCTAAGGTTGAAGAAAGGAAGATTGATTCGAGTCCACGAATAGCCACTAATTGAGTCCACAATTAGCCATTAGGTTTCTTACACAAGTGTAAAGAAAAACTTAAGAATTTTATTGAATTAAAGCCTCCTCAAAACTGATATGGATGTGCCATATTTATAGGTATAGGGCAGCATTGTAATCCTAAATACAATGGGAAAAAGAGTCCTAAACCTAATCTAGAAAACAAGTAAATATAGTCCTATTTAGAAAGGGATTTAATGAATCCTTTTCTAAATACAAAAAGAGTCCTAAACCTAATCTAGCAAGCAAGTAAATATAGTCCTATTTAGAAAGGGATTTAAGGAATCCTTTCTACATACAAACTAGTGTTTTCTCTTTAATTCCAAACAATTTAAAATAATGATGACCACAAATAATAAAGCTGATTTGGGCCTTGGATATTGTGAGTGGCCCAATTTGTACTTTTAATGGATCTTCATTATGTTGGGCCGCATCATCCTCCCCTTCTTGAAAAATGATTCGACCTCAAATCTTCTAAACATTGTCTTCGATCTGTGACATCACTTGAAACGGGCCACTTATAATATTTTCCTCTATCGAATGGAATTTTTATTAGACTTTCTTGTTTCTTCCACCATTGATGCTTTAAGGATGTAGTTATGGGCCTTGTGATGAGCCCACTATTTACCCTTACTGGATTCCATGTGTACTGGTTCCTATTATTCTCCCATTCTTGAAAAGGATTAGTCATCAAATCTAAATCTTCAATGAAAGACAAAGTAGCAAGCTCACTTTCTGTTTTATCACGCTCATGGAACTTTTTCTTGGGATGCTTGACACGAGTCGCTCCAATCATCATCCTACAATCAACAAGTAAGGCAATTAAGTCTAATGACACGTCATGGAATTTAAACATTCTGGATGGTAATAATTCAACAAAATGAGACATATTAAATCTAGGCATCTTGTTTGGATTGTCAACAAGCACAAAATCTTTCCTCCTAGAGCTTAAGGTAAAATCAAACAGAAAATTCATGGAAATATCAAGTAATGATTTAGATGTATTATGGTGGTAAGTAGCACAATTCTGAACATAAGATTCTACATCTTTTTTCTTCATTGGCCAATGAAAATATCCATGCAAAACATCATCACTCTTCGGAAAATCAAAATGTCCCTTATGTGAATCAACAATTAAATCATTGCCCAAAACAAAGCAAAAAGTGTCAATCCCATTGACTTTGAACCAAAACCCCTTGTGCAAGTAGTATTTGCCATAAGAAGTTTTCAAATGTGCCTTATAACTTCCAAGTGATTCCTTATCTCTATCAAATAAAGTTTTAGTAAAATCAAAATTAAGGAATCTTGGATGTATGGAGGCAAACAAATTTCTAACACATCTAGCAAGTAGGTCATTAATAGAAACATGGCAAACAAATCTAGAGAATTTTAATGCATGCTTTTGAAATAAAAGTGAGTAAATAGTTACTCCCCTTCTTTTCTCTTGCTTATTATCCTTTTTTGTTAGCAAGCGAGGCTGCACTTTGATAGCTCTGGCTGGTTCTTTCCATTGTACCACTGATAGCGGTTCCTTTGTTTGGCTACAATCTAAGTTAGAGGACTGGAGTGGTGACTCCAATTCTAAACGTGGAGGTTCCAGTTTGTTCTCTTTGATTTCTTCTTTCTTCAAGGCTGGTTTGAGAGCTTGCTTCGATCTCAGTTGAATTTCTTCTACTTGTTTTGGAAGTAGAGGCTTAAGCACATGTATAAATCTATTATAGGTGACATTGCATGTGTTGTTGAGTGCATTATAATAAAAATGTCTATCATGTTGCCATGACCTTCCAAGTGAAACATGTGCAGTATGCATTGGCACAATATCACATAGACCCTCATCATAATACTTGCCAATACAAAAAGGAATAATAACTTGTTTAGTCACTCTCACATCCCCTGAATTAATAAGATTGTATGGTTGGGGGTGATTGATAAGAGGTAACTTAAGGTAGTCCACCATGGCTGCACTAGCTAAATTCATACAACGGTTCTGAATTGATGACGATAATGCATCCCTTTCCATGAATGTTTCCCCTAGTATAGAGTGGCAGTTGCACTCGCTTAGGGTGGTGCTCTAGATTAGTCATTCGAGTGCTTAAACCTTCCATGGCAAAGGCTAGAACATCTATTTTCTGCTCTAATCTCTTACGTGTGTTTGGAACCTCTTCAGCCATCTGTTGATGAGAAACAAAATCTAAAAACAAGAAGATATGCGAGTATTCATGTTAGTGAAACCAAAAAGTTGGCTCGCTCCCTCACTATTCTCAGCTCGCAGGTAAGAGGTGGATTATATGGCTCTGGGGGTGCACTACACACTCTTACAAACACACACTCCACTCGTGTATCGCTCAAGGTGGCAAATACTCTCACAAGCCTTTTTCCGTAAAGGAAAATTCTAGTCCGGAACTCAAGTTGATATGGATTCAACCTCAAAGTTCAAGAAAACGTACCTTGGAAAACTTCACAAGCCTTTGAGAGTAAGGTGTATCGCGAGGTAGGTAATAAAATTGAGAGCAAGAAGCAAAGAAAAAGGACAATACAAGCAAAGAAACTAAGCAAGATTTGAAAGAAAAAAGGGAAGCAAAGAAAGAAGTATGGCAGAAAGATATGCAGGACCAATATCAGAAGATAGACACAAATAGAATGTAATAGGGGTGCAAGTGTACCACAACCAAATAAGAATATATCAAAAACTCCTTCCGAACTTATACTTTTCCCCTTCCTTATCCCTCCAAAATTCTCATACCAACCAGATTCTTTCCCCAACCTTATTCTTCTTCTTTATTGCTTTCTCTTTTTTTTTTTCAGCTTTCTTGATTTTTTTTTGATAAGTAACCTCCAAATAACTACTGTAAATATCAACAAAAATTTTAGACCAAGAAGATCTACACAACCCCTTCAAAACATAATCAAGAATTTCATGAATCACCCAGAAAAATAGAAACAATGCCTT